ATTCACAAAGAAGAGAGATGCAGACCAGGAGAAATTAGGAATAGTCATATAAACAATGTTTCTTGTGCATGATCTCAAAACATTATTTTATTTTTACTTAATTTGAAGAACATTATTTTTATTTCCCCTAAGCTTTAAATGGAAAGTGCAGAAAGATGAATAAATACAAACAAAAATTGAAAGCTAAACTATAATATTGGATAATAGGTCCTTGAAAGATTTCAATGACATTAATTTAATACAAAATTTACTGCCATCAATTTAGCCTTGACCAATAAATTTATTGTCATCAATTTAGCCCTACGTCATGCTGAACAAATGTATTTTTTAAAAATTTCCAAGAATTAATCATGGCAACAATATCTGTCAAGGACAAGAATGGCAGTTCATTCAGGAAAAAAAAAACAGAGACAAGCAGAATAAAACATTTAGATGTTCTGAATCAAACTCAATTTGTGAATATGTTCTTCATCAATTTTCAGAGTAGTCCCTTTGTTCTGAATCATCTCAGCAAGTACATCCATTTTCCACTTTGAAAGTCAAAGTAGAACTCTAACGCGTGAGTAATAGGTGTTAGTTTTATCATTTATCATGTTATGAAACTTTTACCATGTAATTTCATCAAACGTTATGATTAACTCATCTGAAAGAAAACACTATCCAACCAATAGTAACAGGATCTAGTAGACAAAAAATTAAGACAAATATAAATTAGCCCCTGAGGATCATTTAAAATATCCTATTGTCCTATACATATTCATAGCAACACAAATGATTCCTGAAATCAATAGGTTGCAACCTAAAAATGAAAATTAAGAGATCGAACAACCACTACACTGATAAGAAAGCTCCCCACACTGGACCACCAAACCAGATATCATCATAATCAGTAATAAAAACTTCAAAGCTTCATAATTGACTAAAAGTAAATATGGGAGTACCCACCTCATGAGGTCCACCAGGATTATGACTTGCAGTCAGTATAAATGCACCTGTTGCTCTGGATCCCTGGTGTAAAAATAGAACCAGATCCATCATTTCCATTGACCCAAAAGAAAGATCATTTGTACCGTTGACAATAAAAGCAATGATTTGACAGTTTGAAGGATAATCACAGCAAAATTGCAGAACGATAACTCACATCAATCCCCCACTCTTTCACGTATAACAGCAGATACAGCAGGAGTTGAAAGCAATCCGTTTTGACCAATCCAAACACGTCTTACTCCATTTGCTGCTGCCATTTTGGTAATAATCTGCAAATTAAATAAAACCTTTAAATATGTATTTCATGATATTGACATTCTGAAGATATATTCTATGCATAGAGAGAACCATGGCATGTACCGTTTCCCATTAGATTACAATAAGAGTAATGATGCAGAGGCAGAACCATATACTCAGAATAAAATCCAAACAGGACAGAACTACATTCTCCTGAATAGAAAATCCATTTCTGACCTACCATTAAATATCACTGCATAACCTACATGAAGTTCAGACCTGGAAACAACAATCTCCAATCTAGTGGTGCTAGAAAAGCCAAGGTAAGGTATTGCCTTTCACAGGTTGAAATCCTAGAAGTGATATAAAGTATATTAGGCTCTGTATCTCTATCACCTCATTTTCTTGACCTCATTCTTCCCCAATATAAATTAAAAGAAACAATAAATTTCAAGACCAAGAACTTAAACTAAGTGCAAACTGTGATAAGGGGATGGAATAGTGTAATTGACAGCTTAGGCTGCACAGTACTATAAAATGCTATCCATATCCAATCCTAAGCCAAAGTCAGCAACAAATTGAGATTTAAAAAACCACCATGCCACTAAGAAAAAACCAACAAAAGAATTTCCAAGTACCAAGCTATGGCATTGATGTGTTAGGTATTAGCTTCCTTATTGATAAATCAAAATACTGTAGCCACCAAGAAGTTAATCCCACCCAGTTCATGGAGGTTGAGTACATTTAGAAAAAAGTCAGCTGTTGAAACGTACCTGAATTGCTTCCTTTGAAAAATAGCGACCATCCCCTGACACAACAAGTGTAGCACCTGCATACATAATGGTTATAGTTTATTATAGTCCACCACATGCAGCATACTCCATGAAAAGGAGACAAGTGAAAAGAAAAACAGTCTTTAAAATGAAATATATGTAATTCCACAAATCTATATCAACCATAAGAAAAGGAAATTAAAATTCTCTTCTTTATTTTTTTACAAGGTAGAGCATAATCCTGATCACAAGCACTGTGCCAATAATGCAGTCCATTTAAACAAAATATCCATTGCCATGTAAAGGAAGCCCAGCTAAACAGAAAAGAGGAAGCACATAAAATCAAAATTTCAAACTATATTTGTTGCAGTCCTCCAGATGTGACAAGTACGGACAATCACTATTACAGATGTAAGGTCATGATGACATTTTGATTCATACAACATATTAAGCTTGGTGAACTGAGCTAAATTTCCTTCTAGATAGACAAACTAATTCTTCAAACCACTTTGGTACATTAAAAAAAGCAGAGAAGAGAGGGGGGAAAAACGCATTTCTGTAGTGAATTCTGGCACATGGTTCCAATAGCATGACTATTCAACACAGGCCTAACATAAGATGGGTCAACCAGTCAAGAAGCATTCCCAAGCTTTGAAACATTGTAAAGTTGAAAACCTATTTAGGATACTCACCAAGAAAACCCAAAAGGATAAAATAGATAAAAACGAACCTCTAACTTTTTCTGAGGTCAAAGCATTGAATGTTGACTGCACAAAATTGTGCAGGTAATTTGGCTGAATGAATACCTTCACCTGAAATGATCCGTCCAATCTATATATTAGATAGAAAATGGAAAAAGCAACAGAACATACACAACTTCTCATGTAAAAGTGATTCTGCAACAACAAAATTCAGTTAAACTCTAATTATCCTGTCTGCAGTCCCAAGCAATCAATGCAAATCATAGTAATTAATCTTGTTCACCATAAATTCATGACATTGAATTTGTAACTTTGGAAAAGGAATATACAGCACATCCACATTAGCAAAAGACCCCAGGCATGATTATGAAGTTAGCCCAGATAGCATAGAACAGACAGATTAAACATTCTAATCTTACAGTTATAAAAAAAAAAAAAAAAAAAGCCTGCAAAACAAATATAGATAGAACTACAATCTTACCATCACATGCGATCTTCATATTCAATAGAACTGATTCCAATACATTATACATACAATTGAAGCTGCATGATTAGGAATGCAACTTTGCCACATTTTTTTTTATCCATTTAGTTGGTTTGCATAGAAAATGCATTAAAAAAGGGGGAAAATTCTTTCAGAATAAAGATAACAGTTCATGTAGACGATGAAATTTGTTATCAAGTTAATTACCATAGAAGATGACAGTGTTTCGGCTATCATAAGATAACACCTCCTGTGATATGTTAATAGACGCCATGCTTCTATAACATCACTAGATGTGGGCTCTGTGCATCGCATGTAATGAGTCAACTAGTGTTGTTTATAATTTATATATAATTTGGTTCTTCATGCATTTTATCTAATATATTGATATTGATAGATGGATGCCTAACACAATCATCCAGTTCTTCAATAAATTGGACTGATCACTGATTCCATGCAAGCACTAAAATTGATTGCTCTCTTTAACTGATCTATTTAACTCTGTATATCCGAATAAAAGTTGTGACAAAAATGCAGCATTCTTATCACATAGTAGATTCCAATCTAAATCCTGCCTTTATCAGGAGTCATATCAGTTAAATTTTCAAGATAACGTACAAGCAGTCAGCTATCAATCAAATCAATATGATCGGATACAGATCAAATTGAGAAGGTAGCGTTTCTCGATAGGATCTATAACTCAAACCTCAAAACAGAAAATTCAGAGAAAAAGAGATTCAAATCCATTGAAGGCTGAAAATTCAAAAATCAAATCACGGAAATGATCAGACAAATGATCATTCAATGAAAACAGATGAAGTTGGAGATTATGGATAAGACACAGCACAGGAGAAAGCGTGAGATAACAAATGAAAAAGACAAAAACCAGACCTTCTTACGGAGACCAGAAGTTCCAGGCTTCTGGCCGTCCAAAGGCGTGGTTTCTATTCGCGAAGCCTTGAAGACCACCATATCTACCTCCTGAACAACGCGAATTTGAGATACTCAATTACAGAGAAACAAATCTAGCTAGAAAAATCACAGAGTGAGAGACGGAGAAAGGTGCAGAGAGCGAAGCAAACGAGAAGAGGGATGTACGAGAGCCTTCGGTAACTTCAGTGAGTTTGCAGAGCGGAGACAGAGTGAGCTTTGTGAAAAATATTAGTACAACGTTCTTGTCTGGATGAAGTGGTTATATAAGTAATTACAAGATTAAGGTGCATCTTTGTTTTTAAATTATTCTAGAGGAGCCCGATATTTTAAATTATTTGTCAAAATAATTTCACCTTAAAAGCATTTGGTCTGGGGGAAGGGAAAGAGTTTTAATGAAGGAAAAGGGAGGGGTTAAAAAAAATAATTGTATATGAATAATTTTTTTTTATTAGTGTTGAAATATTGAAGATGTTTTGATATTCTTTAAATGAGGTTTAGCATTTTTCTCGTCTCAAGTTTTGCTGCCATTTCCAGTCTCAAATTTGGATTTTGTCATTTGGCAGAACACGTGCTTGAATTTATTATACCTGACATGGCATTTTTATATTAACAAGCTAAAGCTACTGAATTTATTTATGTTAAAAATTTATTCTTTAATATTGTCAAATATGGAGGAAATGAAGAAGGAAAAGTAAAATATATATATATATATATATATTATATTGCTTGATAGTATATGTGTAAAGATGAAAATTCTTTTTAACGAACCCACTTCTTTAAGATGTCAAAATGACAGGGTGACACTGCGTATCTACTTTATGTCATGCTTGGTATATAGAATATTAAAAAAAAAAAAATCCTTATAATGTTACTTTCAAAACAAATATTATCAAAGTACCTCTACGGTGCTAGTGTATGTTCTTAACTGATGCGACTTTGGACGTGCAAGGCAGGGACTTCCACGTGGCTGGTGGCTCTTCTTTTCTCGTTTGGTGACATTCCAACCTTCAAAAGTTTATTCCCAAGCATCTCTCTGTTACTCGATGATGATATAATATTCACATGGTCTCCCTCTCTTTTCCTTCATATGAATCATATCCTTTATGAAGTTATCAATTATTATAAGATTTTTATTTTGAATAATTTCCTCTTCAAAACAAACAAACGCACATGAAGACGGCCAAACTTGCCATTGCCATGCAATAATAAAACATGCATGTTACATGCTTTCCTCCTCTCTGTTTTTTTGGAGTGAAAGGTGAGATTCCATTAACTATCAAAACTGTACATCAAGCACTGAAAGAAGCAAAATTACATTAGAGATTTGAACTTAGAAAAGGCTATAAAACATGCATATTACCTGCTTCCTTTTTTCAGATCAAGCAAACCATTTATTTTATGCCATTTTGTTCAAGTTAATTGTCTTGTGAGAGGGCTGTGTGATTGACTTTGATGCTGATTGTTATAGGGCTAGGATTCAATCCAAATGAGGCAATGTCAAGGGCAAAAAATACTGATGTTGAAGGGTTATGCGTATCATCTGCTAGAAGCCACAAATCTTCAAAGCCTGTTCTTGCAGTCAAGGAAATTTTGGAAGAAGAAACATGTACTGTGCTGAAGTAATTGAGAAAAAGTTGAACGTGGTAGAAGTTGCTAGGCACTAAAAATTACATCAGAGAGTTACCCGTTTATATTCAGTAGCCAAGGGGTTATGATTTGCAAGAAATTGTATCATCAATTTTAAGTCAGGAGGGGATACTGAGGAAGCTTTGGTGATCTTATGAATCAAAGTCATTACAGTTGCAGTGTTTTATCACTTATAAGGGTTGCATTTTTGTGGTGTTGTTTATCCATGTTTAGTTTCTCAGTACACGGGGTGCCTTGTTTTTCTTTCAACAAATGTATCTGCAGTGGCCATAAGCTTTTGTCATTGTATTCTAGATTTTTTCCCCCTGCTAATAAGATACTCGCATTGATAGTTGAGATTTGCACATACAATCTAGTAAATATGGGCCAAGTCACATTGTGTCATATTTTTAGAACAAGTTCAAAAGGAAATATCGGCCCCTTTGTTACAGAGACTGTAACCGATCCCTAACTTCAGTGTGGAGTGTGGACATTTCTTCAGGTAATTATTTATTGAACTTAGATATTGTCAAATTTCAGATAATAATAATAATAATAAAAATTGTCATGCAATTATCATAATATTTTAGTAATTGTCTCCAATATTTTCAAATGCAGAATTTCAAATTTTAAATGCAATCTTCCACCGCTACGGATGTACACAAGGAAAAACTATCTGTCAAAAGATTAAAAATGCTGTGGATATAGTGTGCAAAATAACAATGCACCACCAACAATCAGCATGATCTATATCCGCTTCAAGCCTACAAATTACAAATAGAATCACTTAAGGTTCCCCAGTTTATGTTTCAACAGAGTACCGTATCTAACTCGTAACTTGATGGGTGAGAAACTAACATACTCTCACCATCAAACTAAAACTTCTAGAGGCGCAAATAGACTCGCTTGGATCCATCTATAGCTACATCAAGACGATAACAATGTTATCTCTTACAAATCAAGTTACTAAATGGTTGTAACGCTCCATGGCTCAAGAATTGTGTATCCAATGAATTAATTTGCAAGTTTAACTGTAATCATCATACCTGCAGCTCTACCCCTTCCATTCATCTATGTAGCTATAGCTTCAAACAAAAAATAGCATTCAATTGGAAGGCAGATGTCCTTAAAGAATTTGACCATAAACTTCAACATAGGAGATATTGAAAGTATTTTGCTCCTATCACGATGTAAGACGTCACACTCTCTAACAATTAAGGAATTCAAGGATTCTGGTACTTCTCCATTTGGCGAGAATTGAACTTCTAGACAACGACTCATGTCCAAAGTTTCAAAAGAGAAGTGAGACTTTGGAGGAAAGGAAGGAACTTTAAGATTGGACAATTCTCTAATTGAAGATGGAGAAGTTTAGGCATGTTACCATTTTTCAAATCTTCCCAGACTAGAAGGTTTGGCGTATTGTTGAATTTTAGTTACAGTAAAGAAGGAAAAGATATGCTATAACCTGCAAAGTTTTCATTCTATAGTGTCCAAATCAGGCATGTTATGAAAGTGAAGAGAATTGAGATTGAAAGTTCGCCAAGAAACGGGAGAGCAGTGCATTCGAAGCAGTTATGTAAGTAAATGCTTTGTAGCTAGCATGCAAGATGATTGACTTAGGAGCCAATCTGGGAATATAGCACCGCTATAACCTAATATAGTTAGCTTCTTGATCAGATTATTGGGCCACAAACCTCCCAAGACTTCTGGTGCTGCTTGGTGAGATGTAACCTTCCATTCTAACAAAAACTTGTCCAAATATGCTTTCTGATCTAACTTTGGCTGCAGCAGCTTCTTTATTATTTGTAACATTTTCAAGATTGGTGATGCAAATGGCTCCCCGATCAAAAGGTAATTCATATCTTTAAGCTCCTCAATTTACTGTCCCTCCTCTTTGGCCACAAGAAATGCAAATAAAGTTTCAAGAATTGTCAATCTTCCAAATTGTGCTTGCATAGAGTTTATTTTCCTTTTTATATCCAACTCAAGGTGTCGGAGACTTGAGTTCTTCATATCTATAATCATAAGAGAAAACTTCAAGCAATTTTTCGCTTAATTGTTTCCAACCCTCGTAGATTTGTGATTGATTCTAGCAAGCTTTCAATGATTATGTTTTGAGGCATCAAGATGACGAAGATGCCTCAAATTATCAATTGTATCAGGTAGTATCCTAACACTAGTACCACTTATTAAACCCTGATTTTAATGATTACAAAATAAAGAAAATTTTGTTTAGTAGAAAAATTTAATGGCATTTAAGGAAATCGAGAGGTAACTAGACTCTTACGCATTAAACTCTGATTCCTAGTTCTTTCAAGTCCTTACACCCATATTACTTTGGTTATACTGATATTAATATGAAATGTATTAAATTCTAAAGCCTTGATTCCTTGTAATTTTCTAAGGGAGAAGTCTTCGACTTTGCCCAGAATCTTTTAAAACTTATTTCGTTACAAACCTTTGTTCTTTGAAAGTATTTCAGGTGGTTTTAATCCGTCATTTATAATTGTTTCGGAACACTAAAACTTATCTATTCTTGGAAGATCTTTTTCTCTATACGGGTACTAATCTTGCTTATACAAGCTCTCTATACCTACACTGTTTCCTCTACCTATCCTGAGCTCTTTATACCCATACTATTTCCTCTGTACCAATACTAAGCTGTCTATACCCATACCGATATTCTCCATACCCATACTATTTCATCTATACCGGTATTATTCCTTGCTTTTTATGTTACATCTTATATGGGAATAGACCTTTCTTATATGGGTACAGAATTACCTTATATGGGTATAGACTTATCTATACCAGTACTGTTCTTTGTTGTACCGGTAGTACTATTCTTACGTTCTCCCCATTGCTCCAATAGAAAGAGGTGGATCTGCTTATAGTCGCGCCCGCGGCTCCAGGGGAGCGTCTAGAGGCCAGGATGCCTGCAGATCAAGGTGAGGACCACCATGAGGTGATACTGGAAGAGGCTTCCATTGCCAGTTGCAGCTACACTCACTGTGATCTTTCTGGCTAGGAAGAGGCAGAGGTAATGCTAGAGATGTTGCTGGACCTTCAAACTAATTCATGTTTTATTTTATGATCCCCTTCTCTACACGTTGTGAGCTACATACGTTATTAATGGGTATGAGATGTGTTTAGTCACGTGTCTATTTTTAGCGATTTAGTAGTTTTGCTATAATAGAATTATTGTTAAGCATGTTGAAGAGAAAGGAATAATTAGAAGACAATGAAAGCACAATATTCATTAACCATGAGCAACAAGCTCAATGCAAACCAACCCTTGTTTATAATTTATAAATAACGTAGTTCCTTACATATTTCATTTAATATATTGAGATTGAGATTGATATATGTATGCCTAACACAATCGTCCAATTCTTCAATATAAATTGGACTGATCACTGATTCCATGCAAGCTCTAAAATTGATTACTCTTTTTAACTGCTCTATTTAACTTTGTATATTTGAGTAAAAGTTCTACCAAAAATGCAGCATTCTTATCGCATAGTAGATTCCCATCTAAGTTTGGCCTTTATCACGATTCATATGAGTTAAATTTTTTAAGATAATATACAATCAGTCAGCTATCAATCAAATCAAAATGATTGGATACAGATCAAATTGATAAGGTCTCATTTCTCAATATAATCTAGTAATTCAAACCTCAAAACAGGAAATTCAGGGAGAAAGAGATTCAAATCCATCAAAGGTTGAAACCTCAAAAATCAAATCACAGAAATGATCAGACAAATGATTATTCAATGAAAACATATGAAGTTGGAGATTATGGATCAGACGCGGCACATGATGAGAAAGGGGAGAACAGATTTGGCACAGTGAATAGGGTAAGGTGACTGGAAATTGGGGAGATCCTCACCATGTATTTTATCTAATAGCTGGGAAGAGAAGGGTGTACACAAAAACTTTTCATCTGCAAAGCACCCAAATTTTTTTATATACCCTTTAAAACCTATTTTAATTCTTCAGCCTTATGACTCATTCATTTTCTCCCTTCTTAATTGTAGCCTCTTCATCGCCTTCTTCTATAATCTCTTCAACTTTTCCTGGTCGCCTGAGTAATTAATGTGACGGAGACGAGAAACTACAAAAGAATCGGAGAGGCTTCAATATTCCTCTGCAACTTTTCGTGTTGGTCTGGGTGTTAGTGTATTAATATGGAAAAATAGCAACCAACCTCTGTAGCAAATTAATATCAGTCAAAGATCATTTAACTTCAAAATTACAATCCTTTGATTCTTGACTGATATTAATTTATGAGGTCAAAAGATTAAATTACTCCTAAAAGGAAAATAAAAAAAGCCACCTCCCCATTGTCATTGCCGCTGGACCACCGCTGGAACCCTACTAGCGGCAAGGTCACTAGAGCCCCTGCTGCCACCAGTAGGGTAGCTAGTGGCTGACCACCTAAGCTCCGATGCCGACAATATTTTTATTCAAGAAATATTTGGTTTAGGTGGCCAAGGGGGATTTGATACCATAACCCCTTGACCACCTAAAAAAAGGCTACCAAGCCCTTTAATTATATATATATATATAATATAAATAGTAAACCAAGCTTCTATTCACTTTCATGTTATAATATAACAGTGTGTTGTTAATTCATGAACTATACACTTGTTATTTTACTAATATTATTTGTTAATCTAACATAGACAATTACAAATTGGGAGCTTCAAAACTTCATTCATTTTACTTGTTAAATGTTCGGATGTATTGTTGTTAATTACTAATAGGTTATTGTTAAAACCTGAATGGATACTTGTTAAAGAGGGACTAATACCTACAATTAAGCACATCCTATTAAGTTTTCTAACTTGTTAAAACTTGAATAAATTGTTATTAATTTAAAATGAATTGTTGTGATAGCCTAAATGTATAATTGTTGATAAAGGATTAACATTTATACAATTAAACCCATCTTATCCTTTTTTTCTAACTTATTATATCTTGAATGAAATGCTATTAATTTAAAATAATTTGTTGTTAAAACCCGAATGGATACTTGTTGATAAAAGATTAACACGTACAATTAAGCCCATATTATCCATTTTTCTAACTTGTTAAAGATCGAATGTACTGTTGTTAATTTAGAACAATTTTATCAAAAAGTATTCATTTGAGCTTAATTGACAAATGTGTTGATTTTCTAACCCACAAGACATCCTATAGCGATTTTGATATTTTTATTTTTGACAACCTGCCTCCTGATTGTATAAGCCTCATGGCTTTAGATATGACTAGACTTTAGTTCTTTGCACAATTTCTTTATGGCCTTGTATTCCAAAAAATAAAGAAAGTAGTGCTTTAGATATAATTTTGGTATATAACCTCTTCGTCCAAACAAAAACATTATACCAATAGTTTTTCACAAAGCCATTAACATGGTTGATCTTGGATTGTAACTTTAGGTCATTCATTATCTATTGTATGTTGGAGAAGACAATGTCACTTTCAAGAAAGTCATCCTTAGAGTAGATCTTCCTGCATCTGGCTTTCCATATATTCCAACATCTTTAGGCAAAAAGTCTCTGCCAGGGGATTCTTTTAGTTATCCAACTACTTACATCATTCTTAGCATTCCAGCTTGTCCAATCCTGCACATCAAAAGAGAAGAAGATATTAAGTTTTGTAGGGTTTACTAGTTTTTTCCATACCTCTTAGGCTTTCTTGCAATCACGCAAAATGTGAATAGAGGAGTTAGTAGAGTTACAACCAAGGGGGTATGTACGCTGCTGAGGAGTATTCACGTTAGTACACGTATAGTTGGTCTAGAAATGATCCCAAGTAGCCTTCCAAAGGAAGTACTTAATTTTTCTCATAGATGGGCCATTTTCAAATCTTGGACCACATATTAGAGAGATTTTGAACTTTTTGGATCTCCAAAGCTTTATAGGCAGATTTGATAGAAAAGTTGCCTTCAAAGGAAGCTCTCTAAATAAGAACATCTTCTTCATCCTATTAGTTATGAGGTCGAACAAGTGCAATCTATCTAATGACCTCAGGATGAAAGTAACATTTCAAAAGATCAAAATTCCAACCTCTTGTGGTATTACTGAAGTTCGAGACTCGTGCATGAAGAATAGAGTTAGCGTTATGGGAGGCATATCTAACAAGAGGATCAGGGAGGGCGGACCATTTATCATACTAGAATGATATTTGGATACCTTTGCCTACTTTCCAACATATCTAGGATGTGAAATTATCCTAAACTTTGCATATGCTACTGCAGGTAGAAGAACAAGAGCTAGGTTTAAAAACCATTAGAATTATAGGTTTATTACATTTATATTTGTCACGTAAGACCCACACCAAAGGCAATTCAATTTGGTGATGAGGGCCCAACAAAGTTTCATGATGAAAGCAAAATTTTGACTCTTGAGCTTCTTGGTGCCAAGGCCCCCATCTTTTTGGTCAGAAGCGATGTAATCTTAAGAGAGAAGATGAGGTTTTTTGTTCCCATCTGAAGAATCTCAATGAAAGTTCCTAGATATTTTTATAGCCAAGACATTATTGGGTAAGAGTATAGTTTGCATGATATGGCTAGGCAGAGTAGAGAGAATAGATTTAATGAGTATAGATTTCCTGCGATATTAAGATGACAGCTTCTCCAACTAGCCAAGCACAAATTCGCCTTATCAAGAAGAGGAGCAAAGGTAAGCTTAAAAGCTTTTTCATGTATAAGTAGAATTCCAAGGTATTTCCCAAGATTTCCTATTAGGGGAATTCATAGCTGCTCGCTAATCTAAGAAGCACGATTGATATTGACATTCCTGGAACATAATAGTTCAGATTTATTAGTATTTATTCTTTATCCAAAGGCACAGCAAAAGTCTAAAAGGCATTATTGGATGATCATAGCTTGAGATAGGGATAACTCTGTAAAAAAGTAAAATATCATTAGTAAAAAATAAGATATGGGAGGCCCATTAGGGGTCAACCTAATTGGCTTCTAATCATTTTTGTCAATACTAGTGAGAATGCAATGGCTTAAGCATTCAATACAAAGAACAAAAAGGTAAGGAGAAAAGGGTCCCCTTAATGAATGCCTCTGGAAGGTTTGAATTCTATAAATGACTCTTCATTCCAAAGTACTCTCACCCTTGTAGTAGCGATGGTGGCATGAATTAATTTCCTGAGATGGCTATTTATTTTGACTAATTTGAGAGTGTCATCAATCAAGGTCCAGAATAGTCTATCGAAAGCCTTTTTATTTTGTTTATGATAGAATGAATGGTTTCTTGAGCAATAATGATATTATCACTATTTTGTTAGCCTTGAATGAAGCTGCATTGATTATCACTAATAAGATTATTCATACAAGTGCGTGTACAATTAGAGATAATTTTTGTGATAATTTTGTAGCTCACATTACAAAGAGATATAAGATGAAAATCTTTCATATAAATTGGGTGATCAATCTTAGGGATCAAGGTAATGAACATTTCATTAATCTTTCCAATAGAGTCGGGATCTCTGAAAACCTTTTTGGTAAGATTTATGATGCTATGCTTCAAATCTTCCCAATAAGAGTGAATGAATCCCGCATTGATGCCATCCAGACCTAAGGCTTTGAAAGCCTCGATATCAAAAGCTGCATTCTTAATTTCATCATCAATAAAATCTATGTGAAGGGTTTGAAGCTGAATGTAGGAGAGAGCAGGAAAGCTTCTTTTAGTGGGAAGCTCAAGTTTGACGTTGTCTTCTTCTTTAAATAGGTTTTCAAACTAGGAAGCAGCCATCTTTTTTAATATAATTGGTTCATGAATCCAAGTATCATCATTCTTTTTAAGGGAAAGAATGGGAAAATCATTCTAAGGTCCTGTGGAAGCAATTAAAATACACTAAAGTCCCATGAATTCATCAAATAGCTACTAGATCCCAAGGGACTTAAGGGTGAATAAATCTGAAAATGAAATTACTAATTTATCCTCTACCATTAAAAAGGAAATCTTGCTTGAATGCAGATCTCACGAAACCCATGATCAGTGAGACTGAAGATTGATGCATATCCATGATTGTTGATCACGGTAGGATAATTTTCACTTCCCTATATCTATGATTACTGTTGTTGTCTTCATTTAAGCGAGGTGGGAGTGTTGATCTGCGCTTGCAGTATTTCATCGCGCAACAGAAAATAATATAGTGATTGTTGAGCGAGTAAACAATTTCTCATGCGTTAATGATTTCATTATTGTTTAAAGGTAGGATAATGCTTTCTGGTTATGCCTACGACCATTTGATTTGCA